AGCTGATTTGAAGAGAGGTCAAGCCGAGTCAAGTTAGTGGCTTGAGCTAGCTCAGGAGGTATCCTACCAGATACCTTATTGTTGGAGATCATCAAGCTTGTGAGGTTTTGACATAGACCCCAATTTGGAGAAAGTTCACCGTACAACTTGTTATCACTCAAATCAATAAAATCCAAGCTGGGATAAATGCCAAAAGCTTCTGATATATTTTCTTCAAGTTGATTCTCTTCAAGCCTTGCCCTGTATAAGCTAGTGCAGTTTCTCAAACTTCTTGGGATGGGACCAGTTAAATGGTTTCCTCTGACAGCCAAATATTTGAGTGAGCCACCAAGGCATACGTTGTCAGGTACACGCCCAGTGAGTTGATTATCATTTAATTGTAAAGATTCCAAAACAGTGAGGTTATTCATTTCAACCGGAATAGGACCAGACAAAGAGTTATTTCTAAGCTGTAAAAGAGTAAGTCTTGTCAAGTTTCCTATGGAAGCTGGGATTGGACCAGAAAGCTTGTTATCTCCCAGATTTAAAATAGTAAGATTTGTCAAGTTTCCTATGGAAGTCGGTATAACACCTATGAGATTATTTTCTAACAACTCCAAGTGGAAAAGTGATTGAATCATTCCTATTTCACGAGGAATAGAACCAGAGAGCTCATTTGTATAAAGGTAAAGAAATCCTAAATGGCTCAAATTTCCCATTGCTTTCGGGATCATACCAGTTAAGGAGTTTCTGGAAAAATCAAGCGTATTGAGATTTCTTATCATCCCAAGTTCAGGAGGTATAGAACCAGATAACTGATTGTGATGAAGGTCAAGAAAATTAAGTGAACTTAACCTTCCTATTTCACTAGGAATAGAACCAGATAACTGATTTTCATGAAGGGTAAGAACATTAAGTGAACTTAACCTTCCTATTTCACTAGGAATAGAACCAGATAACTGATTGGTAGAAAGGTAAAGATATTTTAAATTGCTGAAATTTCCTATTGATGCTGGGATTGTACCGGTTAAGGAATTGCCTCCAAGGTGAAGGTCAATAACTGAACTCAATCTTCCTATTTCACTAGGAATAGAACCAGATAGCTTATTAGAATAAAGCCAAATATGTTGACAATTGCTTAAATTTCCGACAGAAACAGGAAGTGAACCACTAAGTTGGTTCATAGCAAGGGCGAGTACGGCCAGCGAACTCAACCTTCCTATATCCTTGGGAATATTTCCAGAAAAATTATTAGCAGATAAACTGAAAAAAGTGAGTTTGGACAGGTTAACGATGTCAGAAGGAATGGCCCCATAAAGCGAATTTTTACCAAGATCAAAGTGAATTAGATTGGGGAAGGCCATGAAGTTAAGGTTGTCAAGTGTACCTTTGAGACCAAAATTTGAAAGGCTTATGTTGGTGACGCTTCCAAGTCTATCACAAGCAATTCCAACCCAATTGCAAGGGTTATCCCCAACCCAAGAAGAGAAGCTTTGGCTTTGGCTGTCAAGACTGGCTCTCCATTTGAGAAGAGTTTCTGTTTGATTAAGTAAAGAAGTGGTGGAAGAAGCAGAAGTAGAAACAAGAAAAGACTGGAGTAGCAGGAGGAAGAACAAGGGTGATGCCATAATACCAATGATTTAGAATGCCTTGGGGGTACAATAATGCATGCTCTTGCAATGACAGATATTTATACACGTAAACGAGGTAAATAGGAAAAAACAAGTGGGACATCAACACCAATATTTCATCATTTTATGTTAATGCTCAAAGAATCTGTCCTAAGAAAAGAAATAAATAAATTTTAACTTTTTAACTTTTTTTTTTCATCATTTGCTTTATTTGCACCCCACCTTGCTAACCAATAAGAGGCGATGATGAATTCTTGGACAGCTCCACTTGTGGAAAATATTATAAAGTAGAAAGAGAGCAGGCAGTGAATTGAATTGTTACTTCACTTGTTGTAATTTATTTGTCATACTCGTACTTAAAAAAAAAAGTTATTTCAATTTACTTATTAATTTTTTAAAATAAAGTAATAAATTCCTTTGTTTTTTTAAAAAATTCGCTCTAATAAGATTTCATACTTATGAAACCTCCTTTATTAATTGAATCCTCTACTTAAATCAAAGAATTCCCAAATAATAATTATATTTTAATGAATTTTAGCACTCCTCTTGTTTGATTTAACTACTCCATTTCATTCATTTATGATTACTTTTAAATTCATTTATTACAATAATTATGACCTATCTTTTCATTTTCACCATTACTTATAATTATGCAAAAAAAATACAATGGAATTTTTGTCTCTTCTAAGATATTTGTCAAATTCAAATATTAGTATTCAATGTTGGATTTTTCTAACTAATGCCCTTACTATGTATTTATTATATTATCTTACTATTAGTTTTTATAAAAAATTATGAAAATAAATTTTATTTTCAACGTCAATGTCATGTGAAATGATTTTAATTAAATGATTAATAAAATTAAAATTAATTTTTATTTTTCTATGTGAATTAATGATGAAAAAATGCAATAAATATATCATTACAGGTATAATTAAAAAATTCTTTTAATATTTTATTAAAATAAAAGCGAGACAACTAAACCATATTAAGGGTCTGTTTAGCCATATGGGAGCTTTCAATATTGTATTTTAATTGGATTGAGCTTGCAATATATCATACTCTAGTTAAGTCTGCTAGGGTATACCTAAAAGTCTTAACAGAAAATTGTGCTAGGCAGTTAGAATATGGTATCACGTTAGTCTCACAAGGAGTTGATAACAACTCAAAAATGAATAGGGATAATTGTTGGGTGCATTTATAAGGTGCAATTTTCTAGCATCTATCATTTAAAAAAAAAAAAATCATAAACTTTGCATCTTTGATATAAAGGGTTTTCTTCGAACTCATATCCATCTAGTCTCCTCACAAACATCATTCCAAGAATTGTGATTAACTAATGATGAGAGGGATTTAGTATAAATAAGAATATAATTTTTTAAAAAATTTTAATTAAGGATATGATTTTTTTATTAATTAAAATTACCACCTTTTAAATATTTTTAATCAAAGAAGAAAAAAAATTAGGAAAAATCATTCCTTAAAAAATGGGTGAAGAAAGCATTACTTATT